AAATTAATTAACATTAATAAATACCAAAAAGAATTAAAAAAATATACAAGAGGAAATATTATAATTTTTTGAAACAAAAAGTATGTTTCATTATGTTTTATTTGGCGCCATAAAATTGAGTTTAAATACATTGTATCCATTGCAAAAAATCAATCAAAGTTTCAAATCGGCTTTTATTTAAATTAATTAAAAAAAGCTAAAAGCTTAAAAGCTCATCGAAAAAAATCAATTTGGAATATTTTTTTTTGTTTTGGGACAAGTCAATTTGAAGGAAGCAACATTAAAAAATATGAAAAAATAAATAAAAAAAATGTACTCTGAGAAATATTTAAATTATTAAAAACAAATTTTAATATGTTTTATTTGGCTCTATAAAACTGAGTTTAAATACGTTGGATTAATTGTAATAAAATTAATGAAATTAATCCAAATCGACTTTTATTATTATTATTAAATTAATTAATTAAAATAAATTTAAAAAAATGGAAAATACTAGCGCTTTACCCTGTATATTTGATGAGCTTTTAAGATCTCAGATAGAAAAGAGAAATTTAGATTTTTTTGCTATAAAACAAATTTAAAACGCAGCATTAAAACATATAAGAACATAAATAAAATAATTATACTTCGAGGAATATTTCAGTTGTTTGAAATACCGGGTGTTTCGGAACTCTCGCTTCAGAGAAGGTAAGATAACAGGAACGTTGAGAAATTCCATCTATAAAAATTTTGAAATTATAGGGGTTTAAATTTTACACTTTGACTATTTATTTCTATTGGAAAAATAATTTCCCGTGTTTTTTTTTTTGCTGCAGGCTATTAGAAAAGGAAAGAAGGATCCTAAATTGTAACTGTGTTTAACGTTATTTTGTGACTTTTATTGGCAAAATTTTGGTACTTTTACTTAATAATTTTAAATAATATATACAAGATTATTAGTAAAACTAAATAAACATAAAAAATGTCAAATGTCAAAAAACAAAAAAATTTTTTTTTATCTTCCTGGTTTCTTATCTTACTTGAAATGTTCCTTTAGGGTACGAGTTCTGAAACACCCTGTATAAATAAATTTATATATTTAGACCTATTTTGTTTGCTTTAGAACAAATTATTTAAGAAAGTAGCATTAAAAAATATAAAAAAATTATGCTCGGAAAGACATTAGGTACAATTTTTTGAAACAAAAAGATTGTTTCAACAAAACTAAGTTTAAATACGTTTTTTTTATAGTAAAAAATCAATACACGCTTTTATTTAAATTAATTTAAAAAGGCGCTTCACCCTGTATATCCCTGAGCTTAAAAGCTCATCGGAAAAGAGCAATTTGACATTATTTTGCGTTTTGTTTACAATGTCGTGGAAAACTCCGATTTTTGGATTTAATGAAAGATCATTTTGATATCAGTCCAAAAATAAACTTTTAAAAAATTCAGCAGTTGTTGATGAAAAAGTTTGTAAATATTGACAAAAACGTCACGTGAAAAATAGATGAATTGTTTTTTGAATGAAAACAGGAAATGGCAAGCCAAGTGATACGGCGTCTCAAGCTCTGCGATATGTTTCGAGAGAAATAATTAAGACAGCTTTTCAATTAAATTTTGTGTTGATTTGTATCGTTAAATTAGGTGTGGAGACAAGTATGTTAATGCCGTTTTGAAGCGTTTTCTCGTTGATCCAAGTCTTCGATCGGTCACAATGAAATATGTGTCAAATCAAACGTGAGTTATCTCGAATGGGGCGAAAGAAAGAGGTAATGGATGTGAGCGTTTAATTCAAATCGCGAAAAGATAAAAACTTGCGGCTAATCTGGGCAAATCCTCGCGCGTGTATAACGAGTGGTTTAACGGCGTCGTTACCGGTCGCTGACGGATGACGTTATTTCCTTGCCGTTCTTTTCGCAGGTGTGCGACATCAGTCAGACTTTGTCCGAGATTTAAGACGGATTATTTACATTGTATCCGGCGCGAATGCAAACAAAAATGACAAAGAAAATTAAATTTCGACGGCTAAAAGGCCTTCAACTTTTCCAATTACAAAATACTAAAGTAGCTGTGTAAAAAGGGGATTTCGGAGGAAAACTTTTTCGTCAGATTTCAGTGGTGAAGCTGAATTCCTGAAATTGTGTTATAATTTTCTACACGGTTGTTTAATTGTATTCAATGTTTTTGCTTGTGAACAATTTGAATGCAATTTAAACTCGGAAACGCTCTAATTGTATTTCAATTGTCCTGTTCTGCTTTAAGAAATTTAACTGCTTAAGCGACTCAGAGGCTATTTTGCATTTTTACAAGTTCTACGTGCTAATTAAACTCGATTAGACGCGATTGAAAGAAAAGAAATATTTTTATAAAGCCCAGGTTGCGATTCTACAGTCAAATGGAAAACACAGAAGGGAAGTATATTAATTATAAAAGTAAAGAAACCTCAGAATATTTTGCCGCATATCTCTGGAGAAATCTAGATACGAAACATTGAAAAAAACAAACCTTCTTCCGGTTAAAACTCGGACGCTTTTATCAAAACGTAATGGCAAACAAATGAAACTAACATAAAAAAATTTAAAGACAAAACGGTTTTATTTCGTTAAAAAAACAAACGTTGAGACTAATTAGGACATGCAAATGCAAAGGGACAAAACCGAGAAAACCAAATCAAAGAAATTCAAATCTCGCGTGTAACGATTTTTTTCAGGTTTTTTTTCATAAAGTGTTTTTTTGTATAGTTTAAGGAGTTATACATTCTAATGAACGACTTTTGCAATTAAGTGGTGTTAGAAACCCTAATCCGTGATATTAATCTTGCTTAAGTGGATTCCGAACGTGATAAACCTGAATCAAGTCTTGATCGAGTTTTTCTATGGCAATCACGTATCCTCCGAAGAAAAAAATATTGTTTTGGGATTAAGTAATCTGGAGGATACTTTAACAAGTATTTGCGCAGGTTTTGGGAATGCGATCGGAGTTGTGTTGAAGAAAATATTTGGGAGTTGGTCTTAATCGACAGCTCCTTTTTCAAGCTCGCATCTCACATTAATCACTCTGCGAGTGGCAATAAAACATAAATGCGAATTATGTTTACGTAAAGTTTATCATCTGTTTGCGAAGATGCAATTAAGTTGCGACGATGTTAAAGAAATTAAATTTCGTAATATAGTCGTTGTTGTTTGCAGGAAAAATGAGCCGTCATTTATGAAACCGATAAATTCGTTCCGAGATTAAAATTTCGATGCACTCGGAGTCGTTATGCAATTCCGCGCGCTATCATAACCCGACTCGTAAATCGCTCGTTTCCGGAATCACCCCCCGATAAAATCCGGGATTTTCTCCGGGACCAGCTTTAGGTGACAAATAAGGGTGCGGTTATATTTTATGTAATTGACTTACCTAAAATGCCAAGTCGGTAGTTTACGGTGACTACAACGACACCGCCGTAACTAGCAAGAACGCTGCCGTCGTAAGGGTTGCCCGAATTCCATTCGTAGCTTTCTCCATGAACGAACACCACCACGGGGTACTTGGACGAGGAGCTGCCCTCGCGCGTACCAGCTGCAAAACACGCAAATATTTAAGAAAAATTAGATCCTTTTGTGTTAAAAAGCCATAACACTATATCATCATTCGAGTTTTGCGCGATAAAAGTTTTTTCAACGACCTAAATAATTCCCTAGCTGGACTTTAAACGATGATCCAAGTTTGCGGCCATGATTTATAACTCGCACTCTCAAAAAATATTTAAAACAATGAGTTTCGAGTGATATATCCTTGTCTCTCGCTTGCATTAGTTTCTAATAGCACGAACTTTGCTAAATTTATTTGGCGAGTTTGGGTTGTTTTTGTCCCTCACTCTCTGGACCATTAGTTTGCACCGACGTTGACTTAATGGAAGATTTTTGAAATAAGTCCAGTGTTCGAAAAAAAGCTTGGTTTAGCGTCATTAATAATTTTGTCGGTTCAGACGTGCGAGTCGAGATTAGACGCTTGTTTACATGCGAATTTTCTAAACAGCGAGATCGAATACTGAATTTTTCAGGATAATTTGTTTTTTTGTTGGATTTTCCGGCTTATAAATTGTCACTAAAGGGTGCGAGAGAGGCCATAAAACAATGCGACCGAGATGGTAAAAAGCCTTTCCGTATTCTCATATTTTATTTGCGCTTACATGAGCGCTGAAAATAACGAACTGTTTCCGATATCGTATAGTTTCGTTATTAGATGATGATCGATGCGAAGAGACGAAAAAAACCATTGTAGAGATAAATGTATTCATGGACTTCAAAAATTGCCATACGAGATGAAAAGAAACACGTTTCAACATGAGATACTCGTTAGGCGACTCGGAATAAGAACGGGAAGAAGTCGACCAACTTACGTTTCTGCTCATTTGTCATCGGCTTTTTTATTTTTTCCTCGTTCTGACGTAACGAGTTTCTTAACAATAATACACCTTTGTGTTCCTTTAAACTCGCGAAACTTCTGAATAAAACACAAATCCGATTTGTTACTATTGATTCCCAGGTAATTACACTTTTCATAATCAGCTTAAATTAGTTTAGGTTATGGCAACACATAATCATTGCAACTAAACACTCGTGTTTGTGTTCCTCTTAATAACATAATTGATATTGCTGAAAATTTGTAATATTAATGCCGCTCTCAAGTTTCAAAATCAACAAATTAAAAAAAATCATTCTTTTAAAAACGTGTACAATATTTTCAACGTATAATTTCGCGTATTTTGCATTTATGTCTCCTTTACAACATTAAAATATCTAGTCAATTATGCACGTAAAGCTTTGCTTAATTTTTTACTTTGGTCGTCACGTGATTGATAAAGGTGGGGCGCGCCACTCTGATTAGTGATGAACTGGATCACGTGTTCGCAAAATGGAAGGGGTGCGCGTATATAAGCGCTTTTGATGAGTTGCAGTGCGTCATTTTGGTCTCATTTCATAAACAATTTTGCGGTTTTGTCAACACATAATCATTGCAACCAACCACTCGCATCCACATATGCCCGTAATAAAATTGATATTCAAATCTTGCCTTGTTTTGTACCACCTTTTTTCAGAAATTTGCTGAAAATTTGTAATATTTCATCTGGTCCTGGAGTGCCTAATCTCCTAAGCTTCGGCTTTGGTGGCTCTTAACGCCATCCTCAAACTTCCAAATCACTGTTTAAATATTTCTAAGCTTGTGTAGTGTCGTCTCCTGTATTTAATTTTATCCCCCGCAAGCTGTGAGTATTTTCTTGCGGTCGAAAAGAAATCCTGTGTGTGACGTTTGTTTTAATGAGATTCATTTCATTATTTACTTTGGGATTTGGGAACGAACCCTTTTTTCGGTGGGCTGACCGAGACGCTATAATGAAAAAATAGGATGAAAAAGTAATAAATTGTAATCCCGAGTGGACCTTTTCCCGAAAGTCGGCCTAATCTGTCTTGTAATGAGAAAAATGAAACGACGAAATAATTGTGTGAAATGTGGCCAATAAATTGTTAAATAAAAGTGGCCAAGTTCTGGAAAGAAATCTTATTCTTTCTGAAATATGATGTTGCAAAGGGTTCGAATAATAGTCAATCTAGTATATATCAAATCGGGAAAGCCATTTGAGTCGCATTAGTGAAAAATATGGAAATCGTAGCGAATTTATCACAAATGGTCGGGAAAATTTTAGGTATTTTTGTAAAAATAGTGGCGAAGGGATAATTTCAATTATGGAGAGTTCCACTTACTCATTTCCTCAGAGACAGTCTCCGAAATGTGGAAACAATAGAATCGTTGCGCTATTGTCACATCTCGACAAATGAACGCTTATTTATTGATTAATCCCGGCCGCAAAGTAAAAAAATTATGGGCGTCGTCCTAGGGGGATGAAACATTAAATGAATATAATTGAGTACGTGAGGGCAATTTTTAGTTTTTTATGGTGTTGGTTCACACGATAGTCACGTATCGAGATTTATCCAGTTTATGACAGAGTTAAAACGCTAATCCAAGATGGCCGGCAATGAATAAGTTAAATAAAGCACAACTTTTGGCTCTTTGACCGGCTTCCTGAACTAAATCAATCCCAATCGGAGACACCTCTTGACCGGAAACGCCGCCATCTAAAGAAGTCGAAACACGCAGTTCACATTTGTTACTTTTTTAATCCGGCGGCTTTGCAGATGATTTGTATGTGCCCTGCCCTTTTTATGTGCTCTTCGGGAGCTTTCCGCTCCATAGAACTTTAAACCAACACATTTCACCCTCGCTCCCTCAATATCTGCTCGACTTTCACAAATCTACGATTAGGAGTTCCTAAACACTGTCTCGATTAAAAAAAATAGTTTCCTTCTAGTAAAAAAGTTTCTTCTATTTGAGTTTCTTGTCTTCGAGAGTGATTTATAATTAATGCTTTTACATGGCAAAGGATTGATTAAACCCTGAAATGTAGTTGTATAACCGCAATACAGCTAACAATGTCAGCAGGAATTTCAGGTTAATTCTGGGTCTATGGAAAGGATTTGTTATTAACTTGAAACAATGCCCTGCATTGTTAGGCATGTAAGGGGTGCCGCGATCGTATTTTACATATCCTTCAGTCTTCGTTTGAAAGCGATGAAATCAAACTCGAGACGTTGTTGAGAGACGTTACAATAATCGTTTTCGTGCAGATCGTCTACATAACGACCTTCCCACTTACACTGTAGTAATTTTATTACAATTTTTATGAACTCCTTAATTTTTATTACGTTATAAACCGACTCTTTTCTTCTCATCACCGGTATTTTACAAAAACTGAAATGATAAATAACACGTTCGCATCATCTCCATTGGCATATTTTATTGTTTTGGGTCCGGCGATAGCCTCAAATCCGGGTCCTCTCTATTAATGCCTGAAAAAGGGGCTGACATGTGTGCAATTTTTTTCCTCCACACATGAAATTGATTTTCACGAAAACAAACACAATATGCGAGCCGCGTCGACCCCATGAGATGTGACCGGGACAAGACTCCTTAAAAATTTATGACCGAATTGAAGACGGCGTCCCGCGAGAAATCCTCTTTGAATGTATTAACAGTAGGAGTCATAAAACGATTCCGCAGCTCCCACCAGAGACCAGGAAACGTATGGAACTGATTAAGAAGGCACCAACCGCATTTTCAAAACTAGTAGTAAATAAGAAAAAAAGTTTCAAGTCTGTGTTTTTTATTGGGCTGCATTTAGAAAAATAGATTTATAATATGACTAACAGAAATTGATCCTGAACACGTAATAAAAGCACAATATTGTATGTTTTAAAATCGAAAGAAACAAAGAATATTCTGAAAGTAAAGAGCTTATACTTTTGTAAAGTAAAGAAAGGTTTAAACAAAATTAAAGAAAAATACTCTTTCATTTTAGAAACGTATACAATATTAGTTTGTTTGTCATCTTTAACAACCAGTAACTTTCACAACGTAGAAATATCTAGTCGACTTTGGTTACCACGTGATGGGGGAGGGTGGGGCGCGCCGCTCTGATTAGCGGAGAACTGGGTCACGTGCTCGCTGAGTGGAAGGGGCGCCTGTATATAAGCACACTTGATAAGTTGTAGTGTGTCATTTTGGCTTCATTTACTAAATTTGCATAAATTTGTCAAGGCAATATATTTGCTAAAGGGGTGAAAGATATGAATGAAAAATAACTTTTATAAATCCGCTTCAAAGCCGCATGCTTCTTAACAAAGCGTAGAAATCTCATTTATAAGAAATGTATTTAAAAAGCGAGTTTCGTGGCCAAAGGGATCGAATTAAAGCCATCCGGAAGGCTAATTACGCGCTTTTATTTACCTTCCCCTTGTGAATGTGTGTAAAAAATGACCGGAAGCGCAAAGACGATTACTCTTAGTTAAAAAGCCCGTCGGCCTTTTGTCATTCACGCCACATTTTTCATTACAGCTTATCTTAACATTCTTGCGAAAACAAATCGATAAATAAACACGTCATAAATAAAATAAGAAAAGGGCCGCATTTAAATGCAGAGCGTCGGCATGTGTGGACCACGATAATGCCACGCCACAAAAAAGACAGTCCAATTAAGCGTGCAGGGAGATAAATAGTCCTCTTTTTCTCCCGGTGATAGCGCGGCGTCCCATGTGACGTCATAATTAGCAAAACCGCCCTTGACGTTACAATCTGCTTGTTTTATTAACTCGCTTGTTGTTTTTTTCAGTGGCTCGGCACACACGAGCAATATTTTCCGGTCGAGAAGAAACGCCACATCTCATTAACGACCGAGATCGATGGCTCTCGATTCGTGCATATTGATCAAGTCGTTTCGGTTGTTTTATTCCGGGAAAACCCTTTTTTTACTGCCTCGTAAAGTAGCGGATCAACGCTGCTTCAAATCATTGATACCGAAGACTTGCCTTGGTATTTCTGCAATATTTAAATAGAAGTACATTTGCATTATACTAACCTGGGAGCGCCCACTTGGGGACCATGCTGAAGCAACGAAACGAAACAAATTTTTTAGTACAGGTTTTGTTGTAAAAAAAGCTGTTATCCTTATTGTTGTTTTA